TTCTGGTAAGATTCTTTTGCACCTCAATTTCCAAATTTAATTGCAGTACTAGATTGGCAGCTAGGTCTCAGCATTTTACAGTTGATATGGCTTGATGTAACCATAAGTGCTATACTAACAGTTTCTTCTCTCGCATGTGGAACTCTCTTCCCAGCTTCTTGCTTTCCTGTTAACTATAATCAGAAATTTAAATGTAATGTCATTTATCATCTTCTATCTCTTTAAATTTTGTTCTTTTATTTTTCTCTTTGCTTAATGTTTTTGCTTAAATTCTTTTACATTCAGTAAGCCCTTGCATCTTAGTGGCTTTATTGCCTTTGCTTGGGGTGAAAAAAAATTGCAATAAAAGCACTTAATTGGAAAACGCTTATATGACTACAGATTATTGGTCATTTAATTGGTGCAATCCTAATTTAGAGACAATTCCCAAAAAATAAATAAAAAATGGATGTTATTTTCACTATTTACATGAATTTCTAGCCGGTTTAGACAGGGTAAAAAAAAATTAAATAAGTGCATCAGAGATACCAAAATCAAACAAGAACAATTTAAATATCTGGGAAGTGTTTTACCAGAGGGTGGAAAGTGCAACATTGAATTTCAAAGGTGCATCAGGACAGTGAAAGATGCTTTCCAAAAGCTAAGCAAAGTATTAAGAAACAGAAAAATTTTGTTAGTAACAAAGAAAACGGTACTGAATGGTTATGCAATATCAGTTTTCCTATACAGCAAGTGAATGCGGGACAATTCTCCCAAAGATGAAGAGAAGATTTGAAGGAACAGAAATGTGGTTCTATAGATAGATGCTGAGAATACTATGGACTGAAAATGTGAACAATGAGGAAGTTTTAAAGAAAATGGAGACAAAAAGGACACTTATACTTAATATCAGAAAGAGATAGTTGAAATTTCTAGGGCACATAATGAGGAAAGAGGGCTTGGAAATTTTGATACTCAGAGGACATTAAGGGCAAGGGGAAATCAACACATTACCTACCTAGTGAGTTTGAGTAAATGGCAGAAAAAGTTTTAGGAGAGATAAAAAAAAAAAAAAATTTATTAAGAGTTACAAAGCACAAGAAATTGTGGAGAGCCATGATTGCCAACATTCTGAAGAGATACAGCACATAGAATGATACTAAAACATAGGAATGATGTCTTCTGCAATGTTTCCATATTTTACAAGCAAAAACCTCAAGGACAAACTTGATTTAAATAAAAAACAATGTTCAATTTGTTAAGCCTCTTTCTAGATCTCATCAACTAGTTTGAAAAGCTACATTTAATTTCATATCTTCAGTTGGTTGGAGACAAATTCGATATATGAAGACATGATAATTTCAATATCTTTCACATAATGAAACATAAAAGACAGACAATTTCTATACTATGAGCCTTCGGGTTTTATAGCTTTATAAACTTTAAGTACATGGGAGATTCAGACTTTCTAGAACACTTAAAATATCTAAATGAGGAAAAAGGCTACTGTCAAGAGCAACTGTGATGAAACAGGTCTATTCTGGAAGAAAATGCTGAATTGTATCTACAATCATAAGAATGCCAACACACTCTCACATAGTAATAAAAAGTAAGTAAATGGTGAAGCCATTTGTATCTGATAATGCCAGTCTACTAGAGAGACTAGCTAATCCCTATTGCAAGCAGACCTTAGTTACAGTTTCTGGGAGAGAGAGCATTATCTGGTGTGATCAACAATCTGAACAAGCCCAGCACACTCAAACCCTCGGTCACAATGATTTGTGACTTTGTGCTAGCACAACCACCGACAGATCTCCAAAGGTGCCATTTATCCAATTTCACTCACAAGGCTTGGGTCAACCCATGGTATGGTTTCCAGACTGATAACATCAATAACAAATCAACCATGGTGAGGAACATTCCAACTACTCAGCTACATGCCCATACAGACTCCCACGTGGATGCTTCCCTGAACACTACAATCTTAGCCACATCAAGTCAAAGGTCAATCATTATCCTTATAATTTTCACTCCCTACCATCGCCTCTCTCCCTCATATCACATGTCATTCATCATAACAATTTTAGCAGTAATTCTCAACTTTGAGTGGCTCTTGAGCTTTATAGTGGGCTAACTTTAGTACATGCTTGGAAGGATGACTATGTAAGCATTCTACAATCCATTAGGAGGCAGCTCATGGGTATGTCTGAAGCAAGATCCTGATGAAACCCTTTCTAAGGTTGGTTTTGAATTCAGAATTGTCTACACTCATTGTCCTACCAAGGCTAAAGTGTTAAGTCTATCCAATTATTTCACCTATACACAAAGAATAAACTCTAATAGTCATTTTATTTTCCTAAAAATTAATTTTTAACTTAATTATACATTTTTAGAAGTCAAAAAGACTATTTCCTATCGTATATGCTGCACCTACCAAAAAACAAAAAAGAAATCACATCTTATAATCTGATGGATATGTTATATCTACATATATTAGGTTCAAGTGAAGTTGATGATAAAATTCAGCTGTGATTAATGTCATTTTATTTCCTAATTTTTCAAAAGAAATTACCATGTCATTCAAATCAATCAAAACTTTACCATTTGTTTCATAAATCCTACCTAGGATATCACACTATAGCTGGGGATTACCAAACTGCAGATTGGGAGTTACATGTGGCTCTATAAGCTTTAATATGTGGCTTGTGGAAATATGTTGGCTGAGCTCTAATCACAGTTAATATAAAAGGTAAATAAGAAAAAATTCAAGCTCTATAATTATTTATTGGGTATGAATTGAAACCCCATTAGATTAAAATGTAAGTTTAATCTTAATGTGTATGTAACAAAAACATGCATAAATTTTGTTCATGTCATGTGGCTCTTACTACATTAAGCAAGTTTAGCTCCCCCCTGCGCTACAGGATTTAACTTACATCTAAAACTTTTCAATCTCTTTTTGATATTTTACTTATTTCCCTGTATAACCTTCCCTCACACATCTAAGAGCATAAGTAGCATTTTACATTTTTTTTTTTTTACCTATCACCTTACATTATTTATCGTTTTACATTTTATATATATACAGAAGACTTCACCTAACAACACATATGAAGAGAATGCTCATCTAAAAAAGAAAAAAAAAAAAATTTTTTTTACCTGAGAAATTCCGTGTTTTCGTTATAACCATTGCAAACTTGACAAGCAAATGTTTTTAACAGTTTGGCAAAAGCAAGTTCAACATACACTTTAAACTGACAGCAAATGTGGCCAGCCGTAATGTCAACATAGGGAAATGCAGGTTAGAGATGCACAAAGATAAATTTAGACGTGGCATTCTTGTTTGCCCAACGCATCTGGCATTCCTCAACTATACACTGCAAAGTGACGGACAGCTGATTGATTTGGTAAACATATAACTAATCTTCCCTTGTACTAATCCCCAAATCAATTGGTTATCTGCATCCTTTATTCATAGAAAATGTGACCTATGAATATCTCTGGTACAAAACAAAACAAAATGCAAGATGTCAAGTGAGTCATTCATATAATCATAACAGAGGGGCAGCAGGTGAGTGGGTATTTTTATATATATATATATATATATATATATATATATATATATATATATATATATATGTGGCAGATGAGTAAAAAAAAATTATCATACGTTTATATTGGATGAAATGAAGAATTATTCTTTAGAGTTTAATTCACTCAATATATATTTTTCTAGGACACCTGCTGTAGAGTAACCAATTTATTAGCAAATAGAATTTGACTGTAAATTAAAGAAATAGCAAAAAAGAAACCTTTCTAGGTGAGTAAATACAGCATATGTGAGTGTGTATTTGCACTATGTAAAAATGTTGGATCCATCAAAATTTAGTCCTGGGTATGATGATAAACTACACCTATGTCTTGGGTAAGACCATAAACTACATCTAACAGCAAGGCCTCTGATCAGGAGGTTTTGAGGAGCGTGGAAGCACCTCTTAATTGCTGGTGTTCCCAGGTCCGCCCTGACCCAGGGTGGTAGCACCTGGTAGGGTCCCAGCTATGGGCCAATAATTAACCCTGAAACTGGGGTAAAAACATTATCAAAGTGTAAAAATAAGTTTTATTACCAGAAATATTTTATAAAAAAATTATTCCCAGCAATAAATTTTTGAAGAAAAAAAACTATTACCAACTATACATTTTTGAGGAAAAAAAATATTACCAGCAAATTTTTTGAAAAAATTGTTACCAGTAACACATTTAACAAAAAAAAAAAAATTATTACCAGAAATAGATTTTTGATGAAACAAAATATTACCAGCAATGAAAATTTTGTCGGCATTAAATAACCCATTGAGGTGTTGATATGCCGTAAAACAAAAAAGCCAAACCATCGAAATTTACTATGATTTCTTGAACATTCTGGTAAAGTGCTCTATCCCACATCAGCTTCTGGCATGGAAAATGGTTAACCAACCAATGGAAGTTTCCAGATCAAAAGTATTCACATTGCCTTGTGGGAAATTTTTTTTTCAACCCTACAACCATTTTTCCCCAAAGACAAAATGTCACTCACCTATCACTACTTTATTGTTATTTCTAAACCAGATGTTCAGAAGTGGCACCAATTCAAATTCCTTTTGTAAGGAGAAAGTTCCACTCAAGCAGCTTCTTCCCAAAATGACTACTTGCGGATGCTTTTCTGATTGCAATAAATGTCTGGGATAAAGAATAGGTTTGGTGGATTCGTTTCTATGGGCTATCAACCCTTTGCAGGTTATTTAAAGCCAGAAAATATTTTTAGATAGTAAGAATTTCTTTTTTTTTTTTTTAAACAACAATGATTTAGTGATACAAGTCTTACTAATTAACCCATAACCAGGAGAGAGGAGGTGGATTCATACCTTTACCAGTGGTATTTGCGCATATAGTGAATATAACAAACCCAACAGGAATTGGAACTCAGTTCTCCAATTAGCAATTCTGAGTTATTATACATTACACCAATCACACATCCAAGTTTACAGTACCTGATATTCTCAAGTGGTCACCCATTTAAGTACAGACCAGGCTTGATGTTGCTTAACTTCAGTGATTGTATGGGAACCAATGTTTCAACATGATATAGCCATAAGCTTGGGATAAAGAATATACTGATCAAGCTAGCCTTGGAGTGAAGTTGATCTTTTTAGTGTGGCCTTGTGCTAGACTAAGCTAAATTTAAACATATTCTTGGTATTCATGGCTAGAGTTCATATCACAAATCTCATTGCATCATGTACTGCAGCAATAGTAGCAGTGGTGTGCCTAAGGCTAGTCAAACAGAGTCCATCCCTCTAAGCCTTAAAAAAAACAAAAAAAAAACAACAGGTTAAAAATTTTCAAGGTGGACAAAACTCCCCAATTGGAAGGTTTGTGCAATACAGTCTTCCTAATTTTACATCCTAGAACTCTTTTTTTTTCACAGACAAAATGACACAAGCTTCTCACTGCCCTATCGCTATTTCCATGGAAAGTATTCAGGTGAACTGCATCCATGGGTTCCATCAGTTCTAGCCTTCATGGCAAAGCCCGACCATGCTATGCACATTGTAGCAAACAACCCTTATTCCCTTCATGAGATCTAAGTTCCATTTGAGAAGCTTCTTCCCATGAACCGCTGCTTTGTGGAACTGACTCCCAAGAGGATGCTTCCCCAATAACTACAATTCTGACTGACTCATGTCTAGGGTTAACCATTATCTTCCTGCATATCCCCCCCATAAACTGTTCCTTTTAATTTGTAACCTTCTAACTTGGGTAGCTCTTGGGGCTTGTATATATATATATATATATATATATATAATATCCTACTTAATTGTATTAAAGTAGAGACAGACTGGTTTTATTCAACAGTAAATTCAAAAGATTTGAAACTTATTTAATTCACTGTTGGGAAAAAACTTGATTAAATTGATCTGACTTTTAAATGGGTGTAAATAATCATGCATTTTTGACTCATCATCATAATCAGTGACAAATCCATTATATTCGACAAAGACACTTTGTTGTTTGCAAAGGATTATAATGCTAAACTATCATCGCATACCAACAGCAGTGCTCCCTGGTTTGACTAACACCTGATCCCATGGAAAGATGAAGCAATACAATAAAGACATTAGCCAAATGCCCCACACTAGCATCCTAACCGTGCTAGGTATTGCCAGCAATTGGTTCTGCTGGAAGACCCATCTGCCTGCCAAAAGGGCAGTGCCAACAGAACAGTCTAATGCAGACAGTGTCCAAAAATTATAATCCATAAGCCTGCTGCCACTGTATTCCCTGAATTCCTGGCAGAAGCAGCTTGGGGGTTGGTACAACTTGCTCAAGGTCTCACTCCAAACTAACAAAGGGAGAGAGTTGGTTTATGTCTCCATTGGTGAGCCGTGATCAGAAGATCAGTCTCACCTTGCACCCAAAATATATAATGTGCTTATCTTTAGGAGTTGCTCCCCTTGGATACTCTCCTACCTAGGAAGTGATGACCTTACTCAGAAATGCCAAGCAGCCATTATTATTAGGGACACACATATAGAATGAAGTATTCAGAGTAAAGCATTCTCTCTCCATATAAACATTACATGTTTCAGAAGTGTCCCAAAAATTAATAGTTTAATATATGTAAAAACAAAAAGTACAAGAAAGCAAGACAAATTATGAAAGAGTCATACATAAATAAGCAGACACAAATATCTATAAGTTTGATAATAGTGGTAAAAGACAGAAAAAAATAAAATATAAATTATGATTTAAGCCTAAAATACTCAGAGTTTATGAAATCAACACAGTAAAAATAATCTATACTCTCTTTTTTGACAGTATTAACACCTGAATTATCAATTGATAAAAAAAATGAACTAGAGTAGAAAATGCTTAAGTAAGCAAAAACAGAAAGTAAAAATAATTTTCAGGATAGTTGCTGATTGATTGATTGATTCTTTTTCTACGGCTTATCAACCCTTTGTAGGTTATTTAAAGCCAAAAAATTTAAATCTGCAAGTTATGGTTCACCATTGCTGTGGCTTGGTATTGAACTCATAACTCTTTAGGTCTGGTCACTGGATCTAACCAATGCTTTTATCCAATCTATTCCGATGGACAAAATAAAGGTTTGGTTTGAAATTCCAATCACCTGAAGAAGGCCAGAGCGTACAACAGCCGAAACGTTGTGAATATGGCAATGAAGACGAGAATAAGTCCAAATAATGTAAATAATGCAAGTAATAATAATACCCCATCTCAGAGATATAGAATGATATTTTTAAAGCAATATTTACATTTTTACAGTTCAGCTTAAAATTCATCAATTTTTTGCAGCTTAAAAAAAAATGCATCATATCTCTGAGTTAAACACACACAATCAACTTTTCGACTGGATAAAAGAAGTCTTAAAATATTCTTATTTTATAAAAGATCTCAACAGCTTTATACAGAATACAAGATTTAACTGATTTTATTTAGCAAGAAAACTGTACGAGATTCAATGGTTGTACACTTTAAAGAGGTTTTAGATAGTCAGCTTATGTCAGATAATAGAGGGCTCAATTGACCAAATGTAGGACAATGGGGATTTTGAAGTGAACCTACACTTCTGAGATACTAAGAAGCCAGCTTAGTACCAGATGATAATGCGATATTAAACTTGATCTGATACAAGGGAAATTTTGTTGCCTCAAGCTTCTGAATGTCAAGTGTGTGCCTTCTTTAAAAATCAACATTCAAAATATTGGCTTTCAGCACAAAAGATTTCAAATTATTAATAAAATAGTAGTTTAACAGATATTAGTGTACAAAGTGGAATCAAAACATTTCACTGCCAGTCTAATACCTTTAGGAAATTTTATATATATATATATATATATATATATATATGAAGAAATATAGTTTTTAGGTGTGCTATATTTATGGGATAAAGTGCTCAATATCAGAGATAGATCGTATGTAAATATAAAGGTGAACATTGAAGTCAACACTCAGAGGTGACAGGCTGTTTCATGTTATACACAATCGTCAGGCCAACGATTGCGTCTAGCATGAAACAGCCCATCACCTCTGAGTGTTGACTTCAGTATTCACTTTTATATATATATATATATATATATAAAGGGGTTGATGAAATGATCTCAGCCTGATACAACTTCCAAAATCTTACTAAATAGTGACATAAATGTGGCACAAGAATAAAAGTATCACTAAACAGCAATATTTTTGAGAAATAAATACTTTCTTTGTCAGCTTGAGAGTTTTGCAGCATCCATTCTTATTTTTTTACATATATTTACATTCTTATATGTATGCATTCAAAAATATATATTTATGTGTCTATTAATATGTATGTATGTAGGTATCCATGAATACTTATGTGTGTGTCTATTAACGTGTCTATGTATGTTTATATGTGTCCATGAATATGCATGTATGTGTCCATGAATATGCATGTATGTATCCATGAATATGCATGTATGTGCCTATTAATATGTATGTATGTATGTGTCCATGAATACATGTGTCTATTAATATGCATGTATGTGTCCATGAATACATGTGTCTATTAATATGCATGTATGTGTCCATGAATACATGTGTCTATTAATATGCATGTATGTGCACATTAATGTGTGTCTATTAATATGCATGTATGTGCACATTAATGTGTGTCTATTAATATGCATGTATGTGCACATTAATGTGTGTCTATTAATATGCATGTATGTGCCTATTAATAACAACCAGCATAGACTGGGAAGTCCTACTAAAGAGAGACTGCACCTCTGACAGGAATCAAACCTGGAAAAAGTGATTCAGGTTCAATTCCTGTTGGAGACATAATCTTTCTTTTGTAGAACTTTTCTATCTAGGCCTATTGTTATTAATTTCACTAAGAAAAAAAGAACAGGGATGGCAATTGTAACAAGTGTTCCCTCAAAAAAATAATGTTTATAGTGATAAGAAAGAAAAAAAAATCCATTTAAAATGAAATTGTATATCTCATATCTATTCTTTATCATTTGACTTAAGTCCATGTGAAGTAATGGGTGTATTATAGCTAGGATCTATTTTAGAATGTGTCATACATGAAAGAACAGAACCTTCAATAATAATAATAAAATTTTGTATCCTTAAAGAAGTTACAAACAGACAAAGATGGTACTCAAATGAAAGGAACAGCAACATGGGTGTAGAAGAAAGAAAGAGAAGTTTATTGTAAAAGAGAATACACTACTGAAAGACAAGGAATCGGTTAGCAGGCTAGTAATTCCTGAAGCAAGCCTCCATGTATATCTTGTGCTCACTGTATATATATCTACTGATATAGTCAGTCAACATAGGCAATAAGGAGTGTGGGACATTCCATTACAATATAAAAAAAGAAAAAAGAGTTTAGTCGTTTCAATAATGTTTCTTATTAAGAACCTTATTTAAATAAAATAGATGCGGAATTTCTTTCATTTTCAATCCACAAAGACCACAGGCAAATAGTAGGCAAATTAAATGCAGATTTTAAATGATCACTCAAGACAATTTGGAAAAACCCCAAAATGTCAGAAAAAGAAATCTATTGATCTTGATTTTGATCTACCCAAGCAATTTCCAAATTTCAAGCAAGTAGAAATGTTTTGATTCCTATCTTTATAAAAAAAAATAATCTTATTAAACTTTTTATCCTTACACAGAAAATCTTACAAAGATTAAAAGATTTTTCACGCTATGAATTTAAAAAGGAAGAAACTGACTGACATTACAATTGAGAAATAATTTAGGATTATGAATATGAAAAATTATTAAATTATGATTAGATGGCATAAATTACTCATTATTTTATAGTTGAAATAGTTAGATGTAAGTTCTATGCTAACAGTTTCTTCTCCTGCAGTTATCACTTGTGGAACTCTCTTCTAGCTGATTGCTTACCAGTCAACTTTGATCATCAAAAATTTAAACCAAACCTGTTCTCTTATTATCCTCTCTCCTCAATAATAATTTTTCTAGCTTTCTTTCACTCTCAGTAGCTCCTTGCGTCTTAGTGGCTTTATGACCTTGCTTGTACAGTTTTAAGAATGCAATAAAATTGGATTTTAAATTAAACAGATAAT